TTTCTTTCTTTCTTTCTTTCTTTCTTTCATCCATCTTTCTTTCTTTCTTTTTTTTTTCTTTTTTCTTTTTTTTTGGAGATGGAGTTTTGCTCTTGTATTCCAGGTTGGAGTGCAGTGGCATGATCTCAGCTCACTGCAACCTCCACCTGCTGAATTCAAGCAATTCTCCTCCCAAGTAGCTGGGATTATAGGCATGCACCACCAGCCCGGCTAATTTTGTATTTTTAGTAGAGATGGGGTTTCTCCATCTTGGCCAGGCTGATCTCAAACTCCCAACCTCAGGTGATCCACCCACCTCAGCCTCCCAAAGTGCTGGGATTACAGGCATGAGCCACCACACCCAGCCCACTTCTGAATTATTTAAGTGTATTCTGTGTGTTGTTCGAACCTCACCTTCCATCACTGTCCATCACGCATTTTCCTGAAGGACAGGTGCATGGGAACTCATCATGCTGCATCCCAAGGTTATGCCCCAGTTGATGTGCCATTCTGTTTGCAATTATGTTTGTGTCAGGCAGAAGATCCTGATGAAAAAAGAATTGCATTAGAAATTTTTGAAAGATAGCACACTGTAGTACACAGTGCTTCAAACTAGTGGTTGAAAGACCTGGCTTCTAGCTCCTAGTTAACTGGTACCTATTTAAAAAGGCATGGACTCAGTTACCTCTCTCCCCTGTACCTCAGTTTCCTTAATTATATAAGAAGCCCAAGAAAGTGACTTTTTAAATATCTGTAACTCTAATATTTTGAAATTCTTTCTTTGTGGCATGGTGATAGTCATTGTTAGATTTATAGAAGCTCATTCTTATAAATAGTTAAAAACTGTTAACTAACATTAGTATGATTTTTACCTCTTCAAAATTCATATGTTGAAGGTATAAAACTAACTTCAAGGTGATGACACTAGGAGGTGAAGTCTTTGGAAGGTCATTAAGTCTTGGGGGCAGAGCCCTCATAAGTGGGATTAATGCCCTTATAAAAGAGGCTTGAATGAGATCCCTGCCCCTTCTACCAGGTCAGGACACAGCAAGAAGGTGTCAACTATAAGACAGAGAGGCCTTAACCAGACTCTGAATCTGCCAAGGACTTGATCTTGGATTCTTAGCCTCTGAGAAATAAATTTCTATTGTTTCTTACCTGTTCATTTGTGATATTTCGTTACAGCAGCTAGAATGAACTAAGATAAATATCCTACACAATATAATAAGTAATATTGATTGTCCTCTTTGTACTAGATATCCAAACTCTATACAAACAGAAATGTGAGGTTCTTGTTTTCAGCTTATAGTCTCCCATTGCACAACAATGCTATACAATCTTAAAGAGGAAGTTTCTATTATGAGAAATACTTAAATGTCAGATATATCAAATCCATGGAAGATTTGGTTAACTTGGCTCATAGTTCTATTGTATGCTTTAATTTCTGTCTTAATACAAAATTAATTTCCAAAAAGAGGTGGGCTATCAGATTACTATAAAGCTAATAAAACATACCTAATTTGGTCATCTCATCTTACTCATATGAAGTTTAAAATGTGTCCTGGAGTGATTATAATATCATAATCTAAGTAGCATATATCATAGTCTAAGTAGCATAATCTAACAGCTTGTATCAGATGCAATTGACTCTATGATCCAAAACTTATGTTACTGAAATACCACAGGAAAAGCTATAAGCACAAAATTACTATGTAATAAATAAGTCATGTGGTCATTTAAATAAGTGCTAGCTTTGAGGTCTTTGATCTTAATAACAGACAAAGCATAGCAACAACTAGGCAGCAACGTAAAGGACATAAATAGAAACCTTAGTGTTTTCAAGAATCTCTCAGATGGGGTTACTTGGACAACATTTACTAGAAGCTTAGAGACTTTGGAAAGGATCACATAAAAAAAAAGGAGTCAACAATTTTTAGGTCTTATGCTTTCTAAAAATGAATTGACAGGTCGTCTTGATACGATACAGGAAGTAGTTTATGTACCTTATTATCAGCACAAGAACAATTATCCTCACTTGCCAAATGAACCATCAACTTGTGTGTATGTTATTTGTCCTTATAAGTAGCTACATTTCATATGCAAAAGAGCTTTACTAATCATTGCATGCTGATCTGTGGTATACCATCCGTTTAAACTCTGAACAAAATGAGTTTGCCTTCAACATTTATAATTTTTTAAGGAAACATTTTTTTATTCATTTAATGAAGAAAACATAACAGTCTGTTCATGACATATCGTAGTGAGTATATATGACAAAATGAACACATAATCTCTTTCCATGGAGCCCAGGACATTACAAAAATTTTATTCAAACATTATTAAGTAATATAAATAAAACACAGCCCACCTTAATGATACTGGTCGAATAATAGGGCAGGCACATACCCGCTGGATAAGAAATTCCTTGCACATGTGTGTAAATCCACTTCCCACTATGAAAAAGATGCAAATATACTCTTCAATCTGAGTTAGTAGTTTAACACAAAGATCAAATTGCACTGAACCCCAACAATGCCAATGCTTTTGCATGTGAAAATGCCTTCTTATTTATGGAGTTTTGGAATTGAGGCTGTCCTTAGTTAATATTGAGCTCATCTTTAACCTGTGGTATATTCGAGGCATTAAAAAAGCCAATGCATTTGGGAGGCTGAGGCAGGTGGATTCACGAGGTCAAGAGATCAAGACCATCCTGGCCAGAATGGTGAAACCCCATCTCTACTAAAAATACAAAAATTAGCTGGACATGGTGGTGCACACCTGTAGTCTCAGGTACTTGGGAGGCTGAGGCAGGAGAATCACCTGAACCCGAGAGGGGGAGGTTGCAGTGAACTGAGATTGTGCCACTGCTCTCCAGGACACAGAGCGAGGCTCCATCTCAATTTAAAAAAAAAAAAAAAAAAAAAGCCAGTGCAATCTTAAACTGAAATTGTAGAAAAGTATAAAACAAAAACAAAAAATACAAATCAAAAAATAAAATCAAAATCCCATTTTACTTGACTCTGTCTACTCTGCCCTCAGCCTTGGATAAAACCACTTACAAGACCAGAAATTAATTAACTAATGAAATTTAAAAGTGCTTAGAAGGAAAAACAAAGTAACACAGTGAATGGACTTAATACCATGATTGATTAGCTACAATTGAAAAATGTTAAGACTTTTAATCAACCATAGAAACTCAGGTATGGTTTGATAGCTACAATAAAACACTTAAATGAGTTGTCAGGTAAAATGAGAACTGTTCTTGGATTACTTGAAAAGACAAATGTAGATATTTATATTATAGGAATCCAAATTTGATTTGATTTCAGGGATATTATTTAGAGTTCAACCACTTTCAAAAGAGCCATTAAGGGCTAAAGGGTCACACCTAGAATGTAACAGAACTCAAAGACAAAAAAGGTGGTCAGACTAGATGACCCCTTTCAGTCTAGACCTGTTTTGATTAAGATACACTCCATTTTTTTCTTTATTACTGAAATGTTTCTCTTCCTACATTTTAGGCATCAATATTTGACTATGCTTCTTGGAAAGACAGAATCCTGGTCTTTTTAAACTCTGGGGATATTAAGAAAACCACATATATAGAGGGGAAGCACCAGGACAAGAATAATCTCGAATGTTCTCTCATGGTCACTTGAAATCAAGTAACACATGATAATGCTGTATATACTGTCTTGCCACTTCTACATCTAAGTGAATACAGAAGGACAGATACCCAAGAAACTTAACACATAAGAAGTCCCAAATATGATGCTCAATTGGCTATTTAGTAGCATTTCACCCCATCTCCTTACTTGCAGACATCCTATTGATATGAGAAGCTACTGGTTAGAATAGGAGATGTTCTAAGGTAGTTAAAAGTTTTCTACTTACACCCATTCAAATATTTTTGGGTTTATTTATTAAGTATTTAAAAATACATGTATAAGGAGAGGGCAAAAGAGTTAATCTTGCCCACTCTGAAGTTTATGGCGATGTTTTACTACGCTCCATTCCCCATGATTTTGGGGCATGCTAATGCATGAATATTCAAGTACAAGCCAGGCACAACTATGCCTCTGGAGATATACGCTATGGGCCATCCCAGATATAAAAAACAGGAATTACATTACTTTGGAGGTCTGATTCACTCTCATTAATCTGCCAAAGGACTGAATCTGACTTCCAACTACAGGTATCGGAAGCTTCAGGTTTTTGAGTTCAGACGGAAAGCCAACATCTGAATAATAATAGAAGATTAGCAGGCTGGGCTTGCAGACCTTAGGAGAAATACTGATATTATGGGTATATAAAGTAGGAAAAGTGGGCACTATTCTAATACAGTAGCTTTAAGGGCATCAGAAGAGATGCTAAAAGATGGCATCACTCCAAAGGACTTCTTCCACAATTCAGCGTTCTTTAGGATAACAGGACTGTACTAAATATTAGGTTGTATTACATTCAGTTCCATAATTACTTATTCTTTTCTTCTGGGCTACATACTGTGCTAGGTATCTTGAATAACAAAAATGATAAAAATGGTCCCCTTTTTAAAGAAATTAAAGATTGAGTAGTCTAGACAAAGTCACGCTTTTACTTAGGAATATTAAAGCTCTGACAGGTTTCACTTATCAGATTAGTTGTCTGTTCAATTGTAGAGTAGAGAAGATGGTATTGAAGGGCTGGTCACCAGGCAGGCAGATTTTGATGAGGGGAAATGTTCAGAGAGTGAGGTGCTTTCCCAAAAAGGCAGATTTTGGTAGAATATTGGAATGGTACAACATGGGAGGGTAAGAGGAGTTAGCACTGGATGTTGATAAAAAATGTAAATGGATTCTAAAAGCACTTTGCTTACCTAATGGCATTTTTAAGTCTACCAAGGAATATGAATATATCGGGTTTTTTCTTTTCTAGTATTAATATTAGAAAGACCATTAAATAGCCCACTTGAAAACTTCCTATTTATTTATTTACTGAGACAAGGTCTCACTCTGTCACTCAGGCTGCAGTGCAGTGACACAACCACAGCTCATGTTATCCTTAACCTCCTGGATTCAAGAGATCCTCCAGCCTCAGCCTCCCAAGTAGCTAGGACCACAGGTGCATGCCCCCATGATCAGCTAATTTTTAAATTTTTTGTACAGATAGGGTCTTGCTATGGTGCCTGGGGCTGGCCTTGAACTTCTAGGCTAAAACAATCCTTCTACTTTGGTCTCCTAAAATGTTGGGATTAAAGGTATAAGCCACTGTGCCTCGCTTGGAAATTTTCTGTATAGGTACAAACAACATTTTGTCCCTATGTACTACCCAAAAGTCAACTGCTTAAACAGTTTTTTTTTCTTTTTATTTTTTTTGTTTTCTTTTGTAATAATCCACCAAAGGTGTGCAAGAAAATAGAGCAATCACCAACCTGAGTAATACAACATGATCAAAATCCTTCCTTGTTTTAAGGATCCTTTCTTGCCAAGATGAAAAACGCAATAAGGTAGTTTCTATATTTGAATGTAGTTCTATTTTATCTTCATGTGTCCATATTTCAATGCCAACCAACGTCACATGGATGTTTAAGGTTTTATAAATCTGTTCAAAGAAGAAACCATTTTTCACAAAGTCAGGTTGCTGGAAAGATTCCGCAATATTACTATATTCCTTTATATTTTCCCAAAAACAATAATTTGAACTTGTGAGGTATATAAGTAAACAGTGCAAGCCTCATGTTACAAACTGATATATCAAAATGGGACAGAGTTCATTGCCCAAAATACCTGGTGAATTTTCTGGGCAACAGTGAAATTTAATCAGAAAGATCTGCCTCCTCAAACTATCATAAGTCTTACAGGCACTGTCTCAAGATGTGCTGGAAGAATTTATTAAAGTTCTGAGTTTAGAACTGGCCTAAAAGCATAAGTTCACTAACAGTGGCAGGTGGTGTGACTGCTCCTTATTCACCTTCATACTTTAAGCCAAGGGTTCATTCTGTGACAGGTTAGAAAGTTGGTATTGGTTTTCAAAAACTTACCTGCTGTGTTCGATCTCTATGTTTGATTTCTGTAACTACCTTTTTTTTAATCTGAGAAATGTTACTAGGGATTGCTCTAAGCAGGCAGAAATAGTTGTAGCCTATAAACCTCACACTTATTTCTACCTGTTCTGTAAACACCTGGGTGATAGGTACTTTTATGCCAGGACAAAAGAAGTTGGAGTTTATGCAATTGTTATGGGAATTTTGAGAGAAAGGACTGTGTGTTGTATCAGTTTTATATTCCACAACAGTCAGTACAAGTAGGTTGAAAGACAGTGAATGATAAAGTATCAACACTGAATAAACGGAAATGGAATGATCATTCATACAATGTTACTAGGCAGTGTAACTAGTCAATAAGAAGGGTAATACTTATATCATTCCTGTAACAATAAACTTGTGTTAATATTCTACTTTTCTTAACCTACAAGATATGAATATACTCAATTCCATGTGTCAATAGAGGCCAAAAGGTCAGTTCAAGATGTGTGCTACTGGTTGGAATAGGAGATGTTCTAAGGTAGTTAAAAGTTTT